CAAGAAACTAATATCTAACCATCTAAAGAAAAGCAAACATTATCTCTACCTCTGTAACAATTTAACTTCATCACCTCATTTATTATTAAATTCCTCCACTTATAATTAATTAATTTTGCTTCATTTCAATTCATTCCATTAATATTGATATTGTCAAATTCTAATCCACTTAAGTTGCATCTCATGTGTTTGCTGTGATGTATTTCTAATTCTAATATTTTCAAATGATTATTTTTATAAATCCCCCTTAATTCCAACTAATAGATGAAAAGTATTTGATCCAGACTAATATCCTATATTTTATCTCATTCCTTTATATTCATCTAAGGAGGAGTAATTTTGTTTATTAAAATCATAATTCTTCATTTTTTTTTTATACATTCTTACCTCCTACCCTTCAAAAATTGCATTTTTCCATAGATTCATCTTTTCTGAAAGAAATTCTAGAGAATCTTCAACCTTTACTTTTAACAATCTTTCAAACAAATGAAAAATTCTTCACCTAGATGTTTTAATTAAGGGAAAGCCTCATAAAAACCATTTTTGCTTTACAATTATTGCTTATTATACATCCTTGAGCTTCCCATAAGAAAATAATGTTAATATTGAACTTTTTAATATATAATTTTAAGATTATATTATAAAGAATTTGATTGAAAATTATAAGCAACTTTGATTTTTTCATGATTAGATAAAATGCAAAGATTATTGACAAGACAATTCAATAATTATCAAATCTAATTTCTGTCAGTAATAATAGTTTTTGATCAATGTAGGTTCAACTAATTCAGAGAAACATTGTTATTTTGAATTTTTATTTTGAAATTTACTTTAGTATATTACAAATAGAGTTAAACAAGTAAGATTTATGATACACTTTCGGCTGAGCCTAAAATAAAGAAAGCAGAAAAAAAATGTTTAAGATGAGAGATGAAAAATTGTAAATAACTTGTAAATGAGTTCATCTTAATCAAAATGGTAACTCTTGTAACATGAAGAATGTAAAATTATTTTTTGTAATGTAGTTTGATCTAAAATTGATTAAGAATGAGTTATTTAATATTACTTTTAGAATTTTTATAATTGATGTCTGGTTCAATATTGGAATATATTTATGTCTTAATAAAAAATGGAGGAATCAAAATTTTAAACTTTCCAATAGAGTAAGATGAAAATTTAGGCAAAAGGTATTCATTCTAATAAACAGCTGATTGATGGGGATTTTTTGAAAAATATAATGTTAAAATCCAATAAATTCAGAAAGTTGGCAAATTAATATATTTGTGCTAGATTTCATTTGAATCCATGATGACCATAGCTCATTTTATAAATGATTATTTTTAACCCACAAAGTGTTTTTTTTTAGGATTAATTTTTTGTCTAAATGGTGTTTCTAATTACATTTTTGGAAGGTATAGTTCTAATAATAAGGCTAATGTTAAAAACGGCGATAACTTTTGACTTAAAATTTATTTCTAGAAGACATTTAGAAACATAGTTTTTTGAAAATCTCAGTTGAAAAATTTTGTCAATCAATCAAACAGCACTGATTATCTACTTAAAAATATTATAATAAATATTTATAACTAATTAGCTAAGAAAAAATTAACAATAAACAACAAAATCAACAATGCTTTTTAATAAAGATCAATTTTGGTACTTTCTGGTAGAAAATTATTTTAAATAGTTGAAGAGTTATCTTTATAACGATTATTTGAAGATAACATTTCTATCTTGTCAAAACAGAATATAAAATAATTCTTCATTGAAAGGATATAACAAAATTTAGAAATTTATGTTAAAATAGAAAGCTATTCTTTTTGTTATAACAAGCTGCTCTATCTCTTACTGTTTGTGCCATAATTCACATTGAGCTAATTTACGATTATTGTTGAGAATTGTGATTTCTAAATCTTATTAGGCGTTAGAATACTTATTGATGATTAATATTTCTTTCAGTCCTTTATTCTGTCTAATACTTTTAATATCAATTGAAAATAATAAATAACACCAAGATTAGAGTAGAGTGATTTTAAAAATCATTCAACCCCAATATTTTAGCTTTGCTCTCATTTAAGATTATTAGTAAGATTAATTTTATTTTTAAAATTCTTTAAATATATATTTCTTCTTATCTTCGTTCTTAAATGTATCAATATCTTTATTATAAACTGAAAATCTAAATTATACTAAACTATTAGTAATCATTATTAGGACTAAACCTATTTACTCCGTTTACATTATAAATTTAATAGTATATTGTACGTCTATAAATATTAATTTATAAATGTTGTTTCTAACATCTCAATATAATTCAAATATTTAAAACAAAAAAAAACACATATTATTCAAATAGTAAAAGAAAATGATTAAAATTATAATTTTTTTAACATTATCCATAATGTTTATGAATATCCAATGTGGGTAATTTCTTAATTTCATAATCAATTAATAAAAAATTGAACTAGTTGACTGATTATCGTTGTGTAGTTACATTGATTAATTTCTAAAAATATCTCTTTAAGGGAAGATTACATAGTTCTCATCTTAATGATTAATAACTGTTCCTTACATGCAAAATTATTATTGAAAGTCGCTGCTTTGGATGTAATTCATTTAGAGCTTATTTAAGATTATTGTTAGGGATGGATATAATTAAGATCTCTAGGGGTTGGAATATTTATTGATGATTAAGATATCTTTCAGTCCTTTATTGTCTCTAATACTTTTAATATTAATTGAAAATAATAAATAACAGGTTAAGAAAATATTACAAAGATTAGAGTAATTTTAAAAATCATTCAATCCAAAAGTTTTAACTTTGTTTCATTTAAGATTATTTCTAAGATTAAGGTTACTTTTTTAATTTTTGAAATGTATCTTTCTTCTAATCTTTGCTATTAATTGGATCCTTACCTTTTTATAAACTAAAGATCTAAATTATGCTAAACTATTCGTAATCATTATTAGGACCAAACCTGTTTTTATACTCTGTTTATATTATAAATTTAATAGTGTATTGTTCGAACATCTCAATTTTATAAAAATATTTAAATAGTAACAAAAAAACGCATAGTATTATTCAAAAAGTTATAAGAAAATGATTAAATTGTGTATTGTATGTTTTTAATGAATATTCAAATTCACTTTTGCTTTAAGTCTTCTAAAAAGAAACTTCCTTTGAACCAAATAAAGGCTTTAAATCTTTCCCTTAATGATTAATGAACTGTCCTTATAGGATAAGTGTTCCTGATTCTTCTAAAATAGGATTCTAGCATATTCTAAGTATTGTACGATCAGGATTAACTAAATAATAATTAATAATAAATACCATTTGGCAATAAGGAGCAATTCTAAAGTGGTGATTGAAGTATTTCCTTTTAAGTTTTTACAAGTTTAGGAACACTTGAAAATTCAGTGGCGTGGACCCTGGTAAAAAATTATTACAAATTAAAATAAATTTATGTATTGAATGATTATAAATATTAATCAATTTTCATCGTTTTTATAATCCAATTTGGTTCTCTAAAATGAAGCTTCCTCTTTGTTAAAATAATGTCCTCAAGTCTATACCAGACTGATTAATAAATTCTCCTTTCAAAATTAACGCTCCGTAAGATCGAAATTCAAGCTTTTTTGATATGACAAGGTAATTAACAGGAGAATTTACTATATAAAGAAGAAAATAAATACCACTTTCTTGAATTAAGTTGTTGTTTAAGTTTTGAGATGAAAATTAAGCTACAATATCTTGATAACAATTATCTGAAGATAAGATTTATTATCCTGTCTTAACATCCCATAAACGAATAGACTTATCATCACTACCAGATGCTAAAGTAGTACCATCAGGAGAGTAATAAATTGAATTAACTGTTAATGAATGACCATTTATCTGGAGAGTAACAAATTGAAGTAATCTAACTAGAATGACCATTTAATTTGGCTTTGTATTATCCTGTTTTAACATCCCATAAACGAATATGGTTAGTAGAACTACCAGTTGCTAACGTATTACCATCAGGAGAGTAACAAATTGAAATAACTCTTAATGAATGACCATCTAATTAGGCTTTTTATTATCCTGTCTTAACATCCCATAAACGGATAGATTTCTCTAAACCACCACTAGATGCTAATGTAGTACCCTCAGGAGAATAACAAATTGAATAAACAGCATGTTCATGACCAACTAATTAAGCTTTTTATTATCCTGTCTTAACATCCCATAAGCGGATAGAGTTCTCTAAATAACTACGAGATGCTAATGTAGTACCATCAGGAGAGTAACAAATTTAATTAACAAACCAAGAATGACCATCTAATTTGGCTATTTATTATCCTGTCTTAACATCCCATAAACGGATAGACTTATCATCACTACCAGATGCTAATGTAGTACCATCAGGAGAGTAACAAATTGAATTAATTGCCGAATGACCATTTAATTTGGCTTTTTATTATCCTGTCTTAGCATTCCATAAACGGATAGACTTATCTGCACTACCAGTTGCTAATGTATTACCATCAGGAGAGTAACAAATTGAAATAACTCTTTCTGAATGACCATCTAATTAGGCTTTTTATTATCCTATCTTACCATCCCATAAACAGATAGACTTATCTGCACTACCAGATGATAATGTAGTACCATCAGGAGAGTAACAAATTGAAATAACTGCCCTAGAATGACCTTTTAATTTGGCTTTTTATTATCCTGTCTTAACATCCCATAAACGGATAGAGTCATCACAACTACCAGATGATAATGTAGTACCATCAGGAGAGTAACAAATTGAAGTAACTGCCCTAGAATGACCATCTAATTAGGCTTTTTATTATCCTGTCTTAACATCCCATAAACGGATAGAATCCTCTTAACTACAGGATGCTAATGTAGTACCATCAGGAGAGTAACAAATTTAATTAACCTATAATGAATGACCATCTAATTAGGCTTTTTATTATCCTGTCTTAACATCCCATAAACGGATAGACTTATC